TAGAATTCTGAAAGTCTGAGAATGGTGCTAGCCAGACAAGGTGGTCTTTCTTAAAATAAAAAAAGGTGTCCCATTTTTTGCAACTAAGGATCTCTAAGAAATTGCCACGTAATTTGCCTTTCCTTTTCACAGCTAGAACATATACATGTTGTCGGTTAGCTTTCGATCCGAAGAGTGAAATGTATTCTATTACTAGATAGAATCTTTGCTTCTACCCTAGAGTTACCGGCACAGAGATACAAATGAACTAATTTGATTACATTTATGCTATCGGCTGCATATATAAGCACATGATTAGGCATTCATATTATACGTATTTGTGCTGTGCTGAGCACAAAGCAAAATGAACTTGAAGCTTCATTGACTTGTATTCAAAATCCAGGCAGCACGCTCGGGCGGGATTTAGGGGGCCATGGAGGGTCTGATAACGCTGGCACAAAGCCAGACTGGCTCCTTGAAGGGTGAGTGCTAGCCTTCGATTCATCTAAGCAGTGCAAAAGTGATGTGTAAGTAGCAGTGTTGATTCCTTAGATTGTTCTTTTCATTTGCAGGATGGATCCAAATTCAACATATTTGCTAGAAATTAGACTGTTTGGCAACAAAAAGAAAGTTAGAAAGGATTTTAGGTGTTTCTGCTTTGATATGACTATTGATTCAGATTTGACAAACTATAAGGATTTACTTGAAGAGATTGTAGAGAAGTACCCGCCAGGTTATTTAGAAGTAGCTCATCTTCAGTACTATGACCATGATATGAAAGAATTCCCTGAAGTTCATTCTGACCAAGATTTGTTGTCTATGTTTGAGAAAAATTCAAAGACAAAGGTTGTCGACATGTTCATTTCTTACTGTGATCCCTCTGAACCATTTGAGCCCATCAAAGAGTGGCATAGTGATGTGCAAAAGCAGGCTGCAGCCAAGAATGTTGCAGAAGATGAGGATAGGTACCTTTGCAACCCAGTACCAGAGAATGAGCATGTAGGTGTTGATGATGAGGTCATGTACTTAGAGAAGATACCTTGTGAAGATAGAAATATGGCTATGATTGTGCATAAGGATCAGGACAAAGAAAATGTTGAGAGTGAGGATGAGGATGAGGATGAGGATGAGGATGAGGATGAGGATGAGGATGAGGATGAGGATGAGGATGAGAATGAGGATGAGGATGAGGATGAGGATGAATTGGAGATTGAGTCAGGGACTGAATTAGAGGATGACCAAGAGTTGGTAGGACATGAGGCAGAACATATTCCAAACAGGGAATATAATAAAGAAGACCCTCCAATGGTAGTTGGCTCAACATATCCTAGCATGGCAGAGTTTAAGATTGCATTATCTCAGCATGCAATCAAACGTGAATTTGAGTATAACACAGAGAAGAGTGCACCATCTAGATTCAGGGCCTATTGTTCAAGGCGGGAGGAAGATAATTGCCCATGGAGACTACATGCTTCTACAACAGATGATATGTGCACTATAGTGGTAATTATTCAGCATAAATAATTTCTGTTTTTTTTCTAAATATTTATTCTGTTATGTTGGTGTAGCTTAATAGGGATGTTAATCTTTTGTAGGTGAAGAAGAACCCATATGCTCATCAGTGCTCTAGTACAAGGAGGAAGAAGAAGGTCAAGAATGCCACCAAGCATTGGGTATGTGCTAAAGTTAAGGACTGGCTCATTGAGGATGGATCACTTGGTGCAATGGAGTTGAAGAAGAAGCTTAAAGAACACTACAAGGTGAGTGTCCACTACAAGAGGGTGTGGATGGGTAAAGAGCTAGCATTAAGGCATATTTATGGTGACTGGGACAACAGCTTTGACAATTTGTATAGGTTTAAGGCACAAGTTGAGAGCACTTGCCCTGATAGCGTAGTAGTGATAGATCATCACACAATAAATGGGAAGATCAGATTTAAAAGTTTTTTCTTTGCCTTGAAACCATGCATTGATGGGTTCATAAGTGGTTGTAGGCCATACTTAGCAATAGATAGCACTTTCCTGACAGGCAAGTTTAAGGGGCAGTTAGCTAGTGCTTCAGCTGTTGATGGCCACAATTGGTTATTTCCTGTTTGCTTTGGAGTTTTTGATTCTGAAACAAATGATAATTGGAAATGGTTCATGGAGAGAGTTAGAGAGGCCATAGGATCACCAAGGGGTTTAACCATATGCACTGATGCTGGCCAAGCAGTGATGTCAGGGGTAGGTGATGTGTTCCCAGAGGCAGAACATAGGGAATGTATGTTTCACTTGGTGTCTAATTTTAAGAAAAAATTTCATGGCAAGGTTTTTGATGACCACCTTTGGGCAGCAGCATACTCATGGAACCCATATTTGTTTGAGAAACATTGGGCTGCAATGGAGGCAGCAAAGCCAAGTGCTACTAATTACCTTAGGAAGTGGCACACTGGGCTGTGGACAAGGAGTCAGTTCTCAACCATTTTCAAGGTTGATTATGTAACCAACAACTTGGCTGAGTCCTTCAACAATTGGATTAAGCACCACAAGTCCTTGAACTTGGATGACTTAATGGACAAATTAAGACAAATGCTTATGATCAAGTGGAACCAAAGGAGAAAAATAGCAATGAAGTTAGATGGCTGGATTCTGCCCCACATAATTAAGAAACTAAAAGAAATGAGTAGAGAATTAAACTTGGAGGTGCTTGAATGCTCAGAAGTTGCTGAAGTTACAGCATTGGGGGGTACTGGCTTTAGGTTTGTTGTCAACTTGCAAGATAAGACATGTTCATGTAGACAGTGGCAAGTTTCTGGCATTCCTTGCAAACATGCAGTAGCATTTATCACATCACTTCACAATGCTCCTCTAGAGAAGTATGTAGACATGTATTACTCTATTGACAAGTTTAGAGCAGCATATCAGCACTTAATCCCTGCTATGACTGACAAACGCCAGTGGCCTAAATCTACACATGGATTTTTTATGCATCCACCTCTATTGAAAGCAACTGCTGGTAGGCCAAAAACTGAGAGGTACAAAGGCTGTAGTGAGAATAAGAGGAAAAAAGGCCAGCACCAGTGCCCTATTTGTACAGGCTATGGCCATCATTGGCACAACTGCAAGAAAGGTAATCCAGAGGACATTGCTGCTATGATGGCTGTGAGGTACTATACATGCTAACTACTTTATTGTTGATTGCTTTTCCTTTTGGCATAATATAGATTGTAACTACTTTCTTCTTTATCATGTAGAGGACCACCTAAGAAGAAGGCAAAGAAAACCAAAACAGCAGAGTCATCCATTGTGCCTTTGGACAATGAAGCACCAGCAACTTCTATGTCTTTTCCACCAAGGTTAGCTCATGATTTTGTCTCACTTTTTCCCACAACAACCTGCAAGTTTTGAAGCACTTTACTTTTGCCATGTTAGCCAAAATTTGGAGACAAGTACAAAGAGTAAGGATAACCAAGTCATTTCTAGTATTGGAGCATCAACAAGCGCAGAGATTACATCCAAGAAAAAGGCAAATAAGGGCAAATCTAGTTCTGGAGCATCAAAAAGGTAATGAGACGCAGTTCATGATATAGCTATTGTACTTTTGTATCTCGTTGAACATTCTTCGTGGGGTTTTCTAACTCAATAAGTGAAGGTTCAGCGTAACACTTTTCAACCTGGCAAAATTGACAGAATATTTTATGCACTGTCATGCTAAAAGAGAATGATCATTCACAATATTACTGAAATCTGGATTTTCTTGGCCTCATTTGATATGGTATTCATGTCAGTAGAATGATTTGTTCTCAGCTCCCTGTCTCCCTGATGGAGCTACTAGTTTGCCATTGTCAATAGTGTAACAGTCTTCTACACCAGATGTCTGGAGCTACATATACAACCCTTTCTGGCAAATCTAGTTCTGCCGTTACTTTGTTGCTACTGTTACTTTGTTGTCCCTTGTTCAAATCTAGTTCTGCCGTACACAGGTCAATATCAGATTCAAATGAACCTGCGCCTACTGCTGCTCCAGTCAAGGCAAAGAGCAAAAAGAAAAAGGAGCCTACTAAAAAGAAAACCACCATTCCTATGCTGCCACTTGACAGCCCAGCAATGGGCACAAGAAGCAAAAAGGTCGATCCTGCTAGCCATGCAATGAGCACAAGAAGCAAAAGGAGGAGGTTCAGCCTGTGATCCTCATGTATCTGTGAATTTGGACTCCGCTTTGTGTGTGAACTTGCAAGTATCCGTGAACCTTTGTGTGTGAACTTGCATGTGAATTTGGACTCCTGTGAACTTGCATGTATATGTGAACCGTTTTGTGTTTGAAGTTAATGTGGTGCTGGTCTGTGAACTTGCTATATCATGTGTCATCATCATGCTGTGTAAATGTTGAAAAAATAGTTGTTAGAAATCATAAAGCATGCAGCTGCATGCCGGATTGCTGGTCCTGAGATCGATCGAGTTTGTGTTGCTGCAACTACAAGCAGGCATGGAATGAAAAATGGTAAAAGGCCCGGCCGGCCACAAAAGCTACTTTCTCGACATGCCAGAGGTCACATGACACGATCTACCATCCTATCGGCCGACTGGTTAGCTCAGCAAAAACATGTTGACAAAAAAAAAAGAGCAGCCAACGGCCAGATACGCTGCATGCATGCGTCCGTGCCTTTGCATGCGCCCAGCGCCCGTGCCTCTGCATGCGCCCAGCGCCCGCTGCATGCATGTGCCAGCACCATGGGCAAAAAAGTCTTTTTAAGCACCACTTAACGCTGTTAGCTGATAGAGTTGACTGCGGTGTCATATTAAGGATGAAAGTTCAAGTCAAATAAGGAACGAAGAAAATTTTAGGATAAAAAAAAGGAACGGTTCATTTTTTCAGTGTCAAATAATAAATTCTCTCCTCCTATTATATCCTCGTCGAGCCCCTCACTAAAGCAGTCAGATTGAGGATCACCGATCACGGTCCCCAAAAGCAGCGGCTTTGTCACCTTCGATCGCGAGCTGCACCAGTTCGATCGGACCAAGGTCGCGTCGACGTCGACGGCGATGGACGCTCTCACGCGCAAGCACGTCCCCGAGGACGTCGGCCTCCGGAAAACCGGCGAAGGTGAGTTACTCCCCGACCCCGCCGGCCACCGAGCCGATCGCTAGTCTGCGCTACGTACTACGTGTTCTCTCTTACCTTACTCTGTGATGCTGCGCGTGCAGTGGAGGACGAGGGAGCCGGGGGCCAGGCCCAGCTGCACCGCGACGAGAAGCAGCACAAGCCGGTGCTGACGAAGGTGAAGGAGAGGATGAAGAAGATCAAGAACACCCTCGCCGGCCACGGCCACGGCCACGACGGTGAGCACGGCGGCGGCGACGAGCGCATGGGGGACGCAGGCACCGGCACCGGCCGCGGCAGCAGCAGCAGCAGCGAGGAGGCGGAGGAGGACGCGGTGGAGAGGGAGGCCGCGCTGGAGAAGGGCGGCTACATGGAGGACGTCGAGGACAAGCCCGTCGTCATGGAGTCCGACCCCGAGGTGCACGGCGCGCCAAGTAAGTGCTCCCACCTGTTCACCGGCGCCGCGTGCTAGGCTGATTCGGTTGCACGTGTGCTTACGTGTCTGCGCGACCCGTTTGCATTGTACGACTCGGCGAGGGCACCGGCCGTGCAGGACCTCGTCGCCAAGTACGATCAGCCGGCGCGCACACCGGCCGTGCAGGAGGTGGAGGGCGACGGCGCCGAACCTAGGGTGCGGCTTGGTGATATCGGCGGCCCCGTCGTCGAGGATCCGGCCGCACCGCGCTCCACGACGCCCGCCGCGCGAGGTATGGCACACGCCGAACGCCACTCGATCATGTCTTTTGTCACTCTGCTCGTGTTGCCCTGGCACTTGACACGTTTCCTTTTCGTTGCAGAGGGTGAGGACATAGGCACGACGCCCGTGGTGCAGCAATTCGAGACGATGAGTTTGTCCGACGACCCGGCGCACGTGGGCGCGGGAAAGAAGGGCGCCAAGGCAGAGGAGTGGAAAGACAAGGCCGCGGACACGGTGGGCGGCGCGGCCGGTGGCGCTAGCTACATGGACAGGCTCAAGAACGCGGCCGCCGGCAGCACGGAGTACGGCAAGAATCTAGCGAGCGCCAGCGTCGGCACCGCTGTGGGCGTGGGGAAGCGCGACGACGATCAACGCACGGAGGCGGTGCCGGCGTCGAACACCGCCGGCGCGGAGGAGTGGAGAGACGCCCCCGAGGCCACGGACACGGACGCGACGAGAGGCGCCGGGTACACGGACAAGATCAAGTCGGCGGCCGCGGGCACCACTGGGTACGGCAAGCAGCTGGCGTCCACCGTGTACGACAAGGTCGCCGGCGTCGGCACCGCCGTCTCGCCCAACCTCCGTCCGCAGGAGAGCTCGGCGAAGGCGGAAGGCGCACACAGCGAGGCAATACCGGTGTCGGACACCGGCGCTGAGGAGTGGAAGGACGCCCCAGCTGCCACGAACGCGACCAACACCGCGTCGGGGCCGGCGGGCTATACGGACAAGATCAAGTCCGCGGCTGCCGGCACCACGGAGTACGGAAAGCAGCTGGCGAGCACCGTGTACGAGAAGGTCGCCGGCGTCGGCACCGCCGTGGCGGGCAAGGTCCAGCAGGCCACGCAGTCTGCCGGCACGGCGACGCCCGGGCCCGGCGTGCATCAGGACACGGCCACCCCCAGCGCCGGCGGGCAGGACAAGGGGGTGACCCCCGTGCAGCGGCGCAAGGAGGACGTCGGGGGCACGGTAGCGCAGCGCGTGCCGGCGCCCGGTCCGGCGATCACCAAAGCGCGCGATGCCGTCACGTCGCTCACCGGCGGGAACCGGGTCTCCGAGACCGTACAGCCAACCACAGCCACAGGTACATTGGAACAATAGAACTACCTTGTTTTTTTTTTTTTGCCAGAAGGAACTCACCATTAGCAAAGCTGACGAGAGACGGGTTGCAGGGGAAGACGTGAAGGAAGGCTATGCGACGGAGGCGCCTGTGATCCGCGGGGAAGAGATCGGCAGCGCGAAGCTGAACACGAATACCAAGTGAAGTGCTGCTACTAATGGAGTCTGGAGAGCACGGCTGCTCTGTGTGATTATTGTATCAGGTTTGTGTACACGTGAATGATGTGGTTTGCGATGTGGAGCCTGGAGAGCGCGAAGCTGGAATAAGCGTGCTGGTTGTGTTCGCCGTGGTGCGCTTTGGTTTTACATGTTCGTGTGATTGTGTATCAACATTTCCACAAGTTGTTGTATGTATGTATATGTATATGTTGAAAAAAATGTTCCGTTTTTTTTTTGCGTTCGTACAGTCGTACTTGTCGCGTGCTGCATCCAAATGTTCTGTTTTTACAGTGCTGGCAAATAAGAGCCATCCATCTAGATAGATTTAATAAATCTGATGGTTTTAAAATAGTAAGAACCACTACCGATGAACTTAAGTTATAGCCCAAAATCTTAAATATTGCTTGCTTCCTGAATGCTTAGGAACTAATTTAGTTGTTGGCTTGTTTCCGGAAGGGTACCAACACGGCACGAGCATGTACAACCTCGTAATGAAGGTTTTCGCCGAGTGTGGGGAGGTCAAGGCGATGTGGCGGCTGTTTGAGGAGATGACGGAGAAGGGGTTGCCTGTCTCTTCCCGGACGTTCCACCTCTTGATATGTGCATCTGGGAAGGTTGGGTTGAGGCGGAGGCTGGTGGAGAGGTTCATCAAGTCGAGTACTTTCAACTACCGCCCATTCAGAAATGCGTTTAATGCAATATTGCACACACTTCTGACCATAGAGCAGTACTCGCTGATTGAGTGGGTTCACGAGAAAATGATCCTTGAGGGGTACTCACCTGATGTCTTGACACACAATGTGGTGATGCGTGCAAAGTATATGCTCGGGAAGTTGGATCAATTCCATCGGTTACTTGATGAGATGGGAACAAATGGGCTTACGCCGGACCTCCATACTTACAATCTGTTGCTTCATGTGCTTGGTAAGGGAGACAAACCCCTCGCAGCTCTCAATTTGCTGAACTATATGAGTGATGTTGGGTGTGTGTGCCAAATGTGCTCCATTTCACAAATTTGATAGATGGTCTTGGCCGTGCTGGCAACCTATAAGCTTGCAAGTATTTCTTTGATGAGATGATCAAGAAAGGGTGTGACCCAGATGTTGTCTGCTATACTGTTATGATCTCAAGGGCCAGTTTGGATGCCAAATTTTTTGGCAAAATGATACTGTAGCGTTTTCGTTGTTATTTGGTAATTAATGTTCAATTATAGTCTAATTAGGCTTAAAAAATTCGTCTCGTGGATTTCGTCTAAACTGTATAATTAGTTTTATTTTTTATTTATATTTAATGCTTCATGCATGCGTTCAAAGATTCGATGTGACGAAGAATCTTGAAAAATTTAGCATTTTGGGTGCACCTAAACAGAGCTCAAGTTATGTGGCAGCTGGGGAATTTGAGGAAGCCCAGAGGTTTTTTTTTATGATATGCTGGTGAGAGGGCAGCTTCCAAATGTGTACACATACAATTCAATGATACGGGAGCTTTGCACAGTAGGGGAGTTTGATGAAGGCATAAAGCATTCGCTATGCTGAAGGACATGGACTCACATGGATGCACTCCAAACTTCTCTGTGTACAGTAGTCTAGTAAGTAGACTGCGGATTGCTGGGAAGGATACTCAAGCTAATAATGTCATTAAGTACATGACAGATAAGGGTCATTATCTTCATCTGCTGTCAAGGTTTGGAGGATTTAGAAGATGGTGAGATGAGATGCTCTATAGTTAGATAGCACCGCCTCGCCCGACCCTTGGGTCTGCACTAAGCCTCGCTCAACCCTTGGGTCTGCGCTTCGCCTCGACCGACCATTGGGTCTGCGCTGGGCCTGCGCTCCGCCTCGCCCGACCCTTGGGCCTGCGTGTGGCAAAACCGCCCAATCTAATGCCTCCCAGGAGTACTTGTCTTCCATTAGGCACTAAGTACTCAAGGAAGGACAATAAATTACGCAGTTCCGTCGAGCACACCACAAGGGAGAGCCCAAAAAACCATATTTTTCATCAGGATCACAAATGAGAGAATAAATCTTACAACATTCTTAAGTCATTTCTTACATCACTTTCCATGCAACATCAGAGTATAATATTTATTGTTTATAACAGCGAAATATACCCATGCTATCAGAGTTTCAGCGGAAATAAAATCATTTAACGACAAGTTAAACATTAACATGATGATCTGTTATATACATCATAACAGGTTATAAGTTTTTCATTGTAAAACATTTTGGGTGAAAGTTTCAAATAAACGCTATGCCCAGAACGTTAAGGAAATCCTCGCTGAGCCCACCAGGAGGTTTCCACACACAAGTGTCAGCTCCACATGTTCCTGTCACCTACAACAGGGTAGAACAAACCCTGAGTACTCAATTGTACTCCGCAAGACTTACCCGTCAGGAGGAAAGAAAAGACTCCAAGGATATACAAGGCTATCTGGCTTGTGAGTTTATTGCATCTGCAGGAGCATTACTAAACGTGCATCCTTATATTCAATTTTATTAGCAATCATCATTAGTTCATTTACTAACCATTCTATGTAAGCACCTATGCTACTTTCAAGCATGTGGTAAGCAATCAGGACTATTTTACTATCTTTCATCTTCTAGTTCTTACTACGGTGCCAGATTGCAGACAAGTCGTACCGGATTACCAGGCGATTCGCGAATCAATGTAGCCCAGCTGGGTACCCCGAAACACATGCCCCGCTTGTACCCCAGACACAAGCATGACCAACCCACCACTCTCCTATCAAGGGGTTCAGGTCCCCATCCAAACTTGGACTCCAAGCCCCCACACCTGAGTCTCGGACTCAGTGTGGTGCTTAGACCTCCACCATCCCCGCCTCCAATCAGTCGGCCCGGAAATAGCCGAAACCCACGACAAGAGAGCAAGGAGCCTTCCCTGCTCCCATAAACAAGTATGTGCTCAGGATAATAAGTATGTGACCTGACTAGAATCCAATGCAACAGACGGTCCTTAACCGACATAGGCGGAACAAGTGCAATCCGAGCCTCGCTCGAATGCCAAACCAAGTCTAGATTCAAAGTACCATCCCGCCCGGTCTCTAATTATCATTCATATATATTCCATGTGATAGTAATATAATAACAACAATAATATCTTTCATATCTCTCGCGTGTGACAGGCAATCACTCGACTTCTACTGGAGTCTTGTAGCATAGCAATCTACACGATCATGTCATACTAGTAGGACCCATGGGATAAGTATATATATATGCAAGTGGGTTTCATTCAACTCCTTAAACTTAATGCACAAGCATAAATTAAAGTGCAGAATAATAGAGGTATGCACCTGCCTGGGTAAGATATAACCAAAAGTTAGCATTCCATCATGGTGGCACGATCATCAAGGCACCATCTTTTTCGCTACTTCGGTCATCTCCACGATCCATCGTTGTTCCTATTATGATATACGTGGATGCAACACGTAGATGTAAATAATCAACGACAACAGAAACTCTTACAAATTCAATTACGCCTCACAAGCTAACGAGATAGCGCTAACATGCTAGTCTACGTATCCACGTCGTCAAGTAAGGCTCGTTCCCGTAAAATGTTTTCATTCTACAAACCCCTAATTATTTTTGACATTTGATTAATTAAATATATATATTTTCGTCCTAGGGCTCATTTAGTTACCTTAACAACAAATTCCTATGGAGCTTAAAAAATTACGGTGAGCACCTAATATTGCTAGGACTCTACTGTAAAAATTTCAGAGCCAACATTATCACCAATTTATCACAACAATTCCTATAAATTTATATTTTGACAATATTAAGTATCTCAAAGTAATTATATAGCTTCTAAGAATATTATAAAACTATGTGAATAAAATATACTAGCAGATAGATCATGATTTTAGGATCCTAACAAAATTGGTTAGGCATTTTTGTGATTTTTCTACACTTTTTGGTGAATTTAGAAGTTTTCCAATAGAAACAAAAAAAAACAGTTTCTGTGGAAAACAAAAGAAGGCCATGACCTTGGTGGCTCAGGTCTGACGGCCCAGCGGAGATCGGTGGCCCAACGGATGTGCCCGCAACTGTGGCCCACGTGGGGCCGAGGGCTCAAGCGGCAGGCGCCGCCAACGGCCCAAGTGGCCAAATAGACCCCCCGCTCCCCACTCACTTTTGTGAAACCACCCCTGAACTTTCTCAAAACTAATCCGTGCTACAAGAACACTATTCCTGTGACTCACGGTTTTACATTGAGAACCCGGGAAAAGCTTCTATTCAACTTTTTGGTCCTTCTCCTCACCTTGAAGCAGAGCAGAGGGTAGGGGCGTGGCGGATTTGGTGCGGCAATCGGCGGAGACGGCGGGGCGACGCGTGGGGGCATCAGCGGCCTCGCCCGCATGCGTGGGCGACAACAGCTCGGTCGGCCGCACGCGTGGGCGGCAACAGCTCGGCCGAGTGTGGCCGGTGAAGCACCCGCCATATCTGGCGGCGGTGATAGAAGCGGCGGCGGAAGCGAGACCGATGACAACAAGCAACGCTGCAGCAGCGGCGATGGTGCCAGCTGGGAAGGAGCGCCGGAACACCACCAGACTCACGCGACTCTGAGGCTATGCTCGGCTTCGACCGAAGATGGCCCGAGGCCATCCGGCTGCACGCGTGGGCAACCATAGAGGTGATAGCCGGCGGCCACGAGGAAACGGCGGTTCCAGGCGGCATGGACTCTGGCTTGCACACGAGGGGTATGGAGAGGAGCGAGGCGAAGGGGACGGTGCAGGCTATCGAGCACGCGGAGAGACAGAATGGCGAGAACGGCGGTGGCCGAGCTTGGGCTCGCGCCCAACATCCACGGCGGACGTAAGCAGAGCATGCAAGGACGACTGGGAGCGCAATGACAGCAAGAGCCCTAGCTAGTGGTGGCCATGGCGGTGGTCAGAGCGAGGGAGAGACCGAGAGAGAAAGAGCGAGTGAGAGATGGATATAGTGCGTGGCAATAGCAGCTCGGCGCCCTCCTTAATGCATCGTAGGATAGGACGGGAGGGGTGCAATAGCGCAGAAAAGGACGAGAGTGGGGCCAGCGAGGTAGGTGAGACGAGCAGCTGTGAACGCGCGCAATGAGCAGCGGCACTTTTGTTATAATTTTTAAATGGTCTAAACCCCTTTTAATTTTACCCAACAAGTACATCACGCAGAAGTCCATACTTCATACTAACCCATAGGAACAAAATATTTAAGCACTTTTTAACTATTTTGCTCAATATAATTCACCAAGATGGTACTTTAAACATAAATTCAAGTGTTTGCCGATTTAACGAAAAGAGCTTATCTTAACGTCAAGTTAGATTTTTAGAGCTCCCACAACACTAGTTAACAACATCTATTTTCCAAAAGTTAATGTTGCATTTCCATCTACTAAACTTGTACTTCAATTTTTATTTAAGTACTAAATACAAGTTATGTTTTATTCTTTATTTATAGAAATTGCTTTTCATGCCAAACAATTAAAACTACTTTTCCTATTTTCGTGTTAGGTTTTCCTTAGCGCATTTAAGTAAACTAACTCACTATATTTATAGATCTACCTCTCAGGCCATAATCTCAGTGCTTAGCGAGCTCGTAACACCAAAGGTGTTACACTGCGCTGCGCCTCGCTCGACCCTTGGGTCTGCGCTGCGCCTCGCCCGACCCTTGGGTCTACGCTGCCCCTCACCCGACCCTTGGGTATGCGCTTCGCCTTGCATGGCCTCTGGGGGGGGACTCCGCCTTGCCCAACCCTGAGGCCGCGGGCTCCGCCTCACCCGACCCTTGGGTCTACGCTCCGCCTCGCCCGGCCTCTGGGGGAGGACTCCGCCTCGCCCGACCCCGAGGCCGCTGGCTCTGCCTCACTCGACGAAGACCCATGCCGCCGTTAACCACTCTAGGTCCAAGCATATGGGCCTGAGTCAAAGCTCTAACACTAGGGAAGAGACCGGCACGCCCCGATGTAACTCACTAGGATAGAGTGGAGCACCATGACCGACATATGACGCCTACGCATAGCACTA